CTGCAACCAAAGCGCTCAATGAGCTACTAAAGTTTCTTCCCATGCATTTTTATGCAAGAAAAATGGCATAAAACACTGTCATCAGTTTTAATACGATTCAGAAATGAAGACATCCACACATACATAGGTCATTGCAAAAAGTTTTTTCGATTTAAGAGTTGCCTACAATCGGACTACGCCGAATTCATCGGCACTACCCGCAAATGGTTTCTGTGAGAAGTTTTCTCATGGTCGCAGTACACTCGAAGGATTGTCATTGACTGCCGAGGGTGGATCGCTATTTGTAAAAACGCTGACGACCTCCGCCCACGTAACAATGGCTGTCTGCTAGAAGCAAAAGAGCGTTGTCTCACCCCAGGCTGTTATAACAGTTATAACAGTGCTTGGCGGGCAAAGAGGGCATACTTGGTTCAATTGCGGGAGAGAGGCTGACTGACTTCGCCGCGGCACAAAAAACATGTTTTAGCGCCATATAAAAGGAAGGGCGTGTTGAGAGATTTGTAGAGCGTAATTTTTGTTCGTCGTGTGAAGGCTCTGCTTTTCAATTGCCTATAGAGCCCAAAGTATTTAGCACCTCTTGGCAAGAGCTATTCTTCGCTTTATATTCAGGCTGACGTTGTTGGTGGTATTTATGTGTATGCGTTGAAATACCCGGATCTCAGGCAAACGATGTCAATATCATCCGCATACGCCAGCGGTATAGTTCTACAGCTGTATATGGTGCCGCAGTATTTCCGATTGCCAGATGGAAAAAGTCGCACGACAGCGAATCGCCTTGTCTAAAGTCCGGTTTGGTCTGCAGCCGCACTGACAAGATTCGTCAAGGGCTTCAGTCTTTCACACAGGCTTATTCCGCGATAATTGGCGCTAACGGTGCTATCTGCCTTCTTGTAGATAGGACAAAAGTACACTGAGACCAATTTCTGCTTATTAGCTGGCACATGCTTCAGACCACATCTTCGGCGCCGGCTTTAAACAGCTCATCTGGTATACCGAGGATTCCGCGGGCCTTGTTGTTTATCACATCGCCTTGGTCAAGTGGAGGAACGCGAGCTTCGTCCCTATACATTGGTATGGATTCTTCTTCATCAAACGCGCCACCTGAGTCGCCATTAAAAAGCGATGAGAAGTGTTCCCTTCATATCTCAAGTGTCTCTAGGCACCTCTTACTCGATTTCTGTGTTCATATCTTGGAGCTCAGTGCACATAAATAGCAAGAGGAAAATCCAATAATATGTACGCTTGGGTACCATGGAATTCACCACTAATCGCTGAAGCACCATCATATCCTTGGCCATAAAGGTAAGAACAAGCTATACCTGCTGGCGAAAGATACTTCTTAAAAGTTTTTGATAACTATCTTAAAGTCAAATAGGTGATAAGATTAAGAGTCTAAAACCCCTCCCCGTAGTAAAGTCCTAGAGTCGACACTAAAAGTATCCTGCGAAGATATTCAAAATCACAATCGTCGTTTTTATTTATTTATTATGGCCTCAAATCGATTTTTTATTTTTTTTGTATATATTTTTTTTTATTATTTATATAGCTAATTACATAGAATATATAATATGTACATATGTATATATATTGAGAATACATATATGTATTTAGAATTTATATAATATAAAAAATTAATCATATTTTTATCATAAAAACTATAGCTATACAGCTTTATTCTATTTCGTATAAGTATTTATAAAAATTATTTGTCCTATAATATATTTATATTTCTACATATTATATACAAATTACATATACATAAACTCAAGCAAAGTGGGCATATGCCATACAACAAACAAACATACATAAATGTGTATGTTTGTATGTGAGCACTTCGTCTTTAAGTATTCAAGGTACATTCGCTCGTGGTAAAAAGGTTTAAATATCGTTGGCGTTATATCTGAAAACTATATTTACAATTGATTTAACGCGTTGGTGATGGTTTTTTTTTCGATTTCCAATTTCGCCTTATAACTTAACTTAAGATTAACACAAAAAATAACAACAAAAATTTCGACTAGTTGCAACAAAAATTGTTATGTTTAAACATACATTTATTAAAATTATAGTAAAAATAGTACTAAAGTGCGTAAATATTACAAAAAACTTGCGCTAAAAAATAATTAAAACAAATCATACTCTGGAACTACTGACAGAGTAAGAGAAACGTGAGCCGCATTGCATAAAGAAGTTGAGTAACTTTGTTTTTTTTTTTTAATATTGACAGTGTGTCTGCGTTAGGGTTCTCGCTAGGGCCCACAATCTCCGACGACTTCAACAAAGACTTTCAAACAGCAGTGCTGCGGTCATTTCCCCTAGTGGATCAAAATATGACGTAGCGGTCTTTGCAGTACAGAGTCCACTTTATTTTTCTACCGTCTCGCCAGATTTATATACAATGAAAAATCGCTTTAGCGGTTACATCTCATTAAAATTTTGAAAACTCCCCTTATAACTTGAAAGACAGACATTAATATATTTGTAAGTCAGCTTCGCCCATAATTTTTGATGATGAAAATTGTCATCGGTCTACTTCGAGTCGTGGACAAAAAAATGGCTGCGTTGAACGCCACTGAGGGCGGGGAAAGAGCAAGACAAAATCAAAAACAAGGACAGGGCAAAGATAAAGACAATGGCAAAGATGCTGTCAAAGGCAATGAGATGAAAAAAGGCAATAGGGGTATTCTCCAAATCTTGCAAAGCCATTGCACGTAGCACGGATTGCATGGATTGCATAACGTACAAACACACAACAACAAAATACATGGGAAACGACATTTCCTATCGCTGCAAAATATGCAATGTCGAAACCCATGTATATATTTTGCAAAATAGCATAGCAAGATATATGCGACCCTGTGATAGTTGTTTTGTTGTTGGAATTGCTACATATTTCTCTCATTCCTCTCATCTCGCTCACTTCATTTTTTTCTGCTGTCTCTTGTTATTGTATTTGATACATAATTACGCTGTTTGCTACCCATGCATTCTACTACTTTGCAATGGGGTGCTCTCGTACTGTTCGAAATTAGGAATAGTATTTTTGCATTTCGTGCAATCCGTGCATCGTGCAAGACTTCGAGAATACCCCTAATAAAAAAGGTTAAGATTAAGATTGGGATTAAGGAGAAGATGAAGATGAATTTGAATAATATCATGGTGAATATGAAGGTGTGGATAAGAGATAAAGATGAGGAGAAAGATGACGAAGATGATGAAGAAAAAGATGAAGATTGAAGACTGAAGGCGAAGATGAAGAGGAAGATGATGATACAGAGGAATATGAAGATAAAGATAAAGATAAAGTTAAAGCTGAGATAAAGATAAAGATAAGGATAAAGATTAAAGCGAAGATTAAGATGAAAAAATAGATAAATATAGGAAAAGATAAAGATACAGGTACAAATAAAGACGAGGAAAGAGATAGAGATATAAATTTAGATAGAGACAACAATAAAAAAGTGACAGTAAAGATGAAGCTAATAATAAAGACATATTCAACTATAAAGATTAAGATAAAGAATATGAAAGTAAAGATGAAGGTAGGGAATAAGAGATGACGAGGAAGATGAAGATTGAAGACGAAATTGAACAGGAACATGAAGATAAAGATGAAGACAAATAAATAGATAAAGATAAATGTAAAGATAAAATAAAAGTTCAAGATAAAGATTAAGTTTAAAATGAAGACGAAGAAGAAGATGAAAAGGAGTATAAAGATAGAGATAAAGATAAAGCTAAAAAAATAAAGATAAAGTTAAAGAAAGAGATAAAGATAACAATAAAGGTAAAAAAGGGAATAATAAAAATAAACACGAAGATAACAATAAAGATAAAAATATATATTTATCTATGATCAAGAATATAAAGGTAAAAATGAAGGTGGTGATAAGAGATGACCAGGAAGATGAAGATTGAAGGCGAAGTTGAAGAGAAAGATGAAGCAAAAAGGATAAATGCAAAGGCAGAAATAAAGATAAAGTTAAAGCTGAAGCTAAAGATTAAGATGAATATGAAGATGAAGACGAAGAAGAAGAAATAAAAAAATTGAAATAAAGAGATAAAGATAATAATCAATATAAAGATAAAAGTAAAGATAAAATAAAAGCTAGTCACAAAGTGGTCCTGAACTAGTTCCAAAATGGTTTTGAACTAATCTGGTTTTGAAAAGAACTTGTCGCAAATGGTCCTGAGCTAATCTCGAAAAGCTCCGAAAGGGTCTTGAAATAGTCCTGAAAAACTCCCGAAATGTTCCTACTTAGTTCCCCGAATAGTCCTGAAAAGACTTCATAACGGTCGAAAAAGTCATGTCCCGAAATTATCTCCGACAAGTCTTGAAACGGTTCCGAAATTTTCTCTTATTAGTCCCAAACTGCTTTCGAACTTGTTCAAAAATGGTCCTCAATTAATCTCTAAATGCGCCTGAAATTGCCTTGAACTAATCTCGAAATGGTTCATAAATAGTCCCGAAATGAACCTGAATGGCTCCGAAATGATCCCGAACTAGTCTCGAAATAGTCCTGAACACGTCCTGAAACTGTTCCAAAATTATCCCGGACTAGTCGCGAAATGGTCCTAAACAAGTCGTGAACAAGGCTCGAAATGATCTTGAAATAGTCCTGAACTAGTCCTTAAATATTTATTTGTACACACAAGAAGCAATAACAGATTTTTTCTGGGTTACACAAGAAGCAGTTACAAATTTTTTGCTGGGTTAACGCAAATTTTGCCCATACCGAAGGGCTAAGATGTTTACGCATTAAAAGGTAAGAAAACATTAAGACTTGCCCACTACTACATATGCACGTAGTTATCAACCTCACTGCCGAGTTTGAATCTTTGGACGGACGCTTACAATTTAGCACCAGGACTTCTATCTTCCTCGAAAAAGGGCTCACTTTGCCAGTTAAGCTACGAAATCGTCGGAGCTTTGTGGCCCACTATAAACTAATTATAATTTCAAAATGCACAATTTTTGCCGCTAGAGTAATGACCTTTTTTAATTTGAAGACAATTGTATACTACTTATTATAAATTTCTCCGAGTAACAAAATGTTGTTATTGAACTGGTAGCCTTGCCACTTTCTTTCGCGCATCTTTCTAATCTCTCTAAAGTGTATTCGTAATCGCAAAGCCTCTGTACTTTTAACTGAACACGCTTCACTTTATATGTAAGTCTCTTCAGCATAGCGCCAGTTTATGATTTCAAATGCAAAAAAGATGCAAGATAGCTTACATCTCCACTTCCTCCAATCACTTACTTCACTCTCATCACATTATTAACCTTCGTAAATATCAAATTCCTCTTTAGGTCGATACCAGTCTTCAGTAGCATGTTCGTAGATCGCCTGTCGTACTAGTTGCTCCGCAACATCTATAGGATGCCGCGATCGCTGCTCCTCTGACGATTCCACGAACTCTTCGTCACTCACAGTGCCATCATCATCAAAATCCGTCTCTTCCACTCCCGTCTCAAAATCATCCATACGCTCGGAACGAGGACTACGTGATGTGGCACGAAACTCCATTGGCATGCCATAGCATTTGCAAATGCAACAAGACGGGAAACGAAACCAATCGGAGAAAATGCCACGGCATTCGTTGTGCGGATCGTAGGCGAGTAAACGATGTAGGCGATATTGCTGTTCGCAGCGGCAACCGTCGCGACAGTACATCTGACGATTTTCCTGTGTGCACTTCTCCCAGTGCACGTACTGCTCGAAAGGATAGACATTGAGCAGGGCGAGCACTTCGCCGCGGGTATTGTTGGCCCAAAATGGTGCAACCACCTCCTCCTTAACGGGACAGGCGTTGCTGGAAAGAGAAAAAAAGGGAGAAAGGAATCAAGATGTGATTGTAAAGCTTAAGCTTGTTTAATTTCCTTGCTAATGCAATCTCTTATTCTCTACCACTTACATGCCACGCATATTGGGACCGACCTTCACTTCCTGTTTAAGCGCATCTTGATATAACTGGCCGTCGCGCAGCACCGGTTTTGTAGACGCAGCAGCAGCAGCAGCAGCCGCGGACGGTGTTGTCTGTGCCGGCGCCGATTGTGGTCTTTGAAATTTCTCGCCAGCAATCTGTTCAACATGAGCTTGTTCCTCCTTCGCGTCGGTGGTTGTTGCAGTGCTTGACGCTATTGTAGGTTTAGCTGCCGCAGATAACTCTGCCTGTGTTGAGGTGAATTTCGTGGCGGCTGTTGTTGGCACAACCGCTTGCTCGCTCAACACTGTAACGGGCGGCAAATCGGCTTTATTCGCATCAAAAGCGTGCTGTTGGTTGCTAAGGTGTGCTGCTAATGCCGCGAATGGGTCTGTGGCCACTGCAGTTGCAGCTGTTGGAGCTGTCGGCGCGTTTATGTCTGCACTAGTTGCGCCGCCGCCGTTTGATTGCGTTGTCCCATTATCGGCGTCCGTTGTGATGTCTGCATCATCAGCGGCGGCTGTGTTCGACTGCTGAGCTGATGTACTGCTGTCTAGCTTGGGAGCAAGCGTTGTGGCACTTTGAGTACGTTCACTTTCATTGGCCGGTTTTGATTTTAAAGTCACACTTTCTTTTCCATCGCCCGCAACAAATATTGGCTGTAGTCCATTCACTTGTTGCAATTTGAGATTATGCGTTGGCTGTTGCTGTGCAGGCCGTTGTTGTTCCGTATGGTATGCTGGATTTTGTTGTAGAGGTGTGGGTGCGACGGGCGCCGGTGAGTCGGGCGCTTCATTGTGTGCAGTTCCTAATGCAGTTGTGGGTGTGGTAACCACCTTGAGTGTTGTGGAGATGGTTGCAGACTCGGAATTATTTCTATGTTCAGTTAGTGGTTTCTGCAGCTGCCCGAGCTTTGGTGATTCAATTATTTGTATATTGTCACCCATGTGCAGCGTCATTGCCGGTGAGGTGGGTATTTCGTAAACGCTATTCGAGGCGAGATTACCATCGTCTTCGGGTATTTCGAGTATGGTTTCTTCATGCAGCACCGTTTCACTAGTCGCGCCAGTGTTTTCTCCCGACAATTTCGGTTCCTCCGTAGTCGTTGTCGTGGTGGTGATTTTAGTTGTGCGTCGTCGTAGAGAGGAATGTGTTGGTCTATTACGATTAACATAGACATTAATGCGCCGTCTATGCCCGCCTCCATTGAAGCTCATATTTGTTCTTCGTCTATGCGTAGGTTTCAAAGGCTGCCCCTCATCCATCTTGGCTTCCACCTTTTCACTAGGCCCCTGTATGTTCGCTTCTTTTCCCACTTCCGGTATTGCCGTCGTTGTCGTCGTCGTTGTAGAAACCGGCCGAAAATGTGGTTCCAATAGCACATCTTTGTTTTTATTACCTGCATATTCTTCTCCCTCCGCATGCATATACTTAGCCGCACGCGCTCTATGCGGCTCTTTCGAATAACGTTCTGCAGCATCTTCAACATCATCAACATCGATCTCATTGTAGAGTATCTCGTCGCGCAGCACCGAAATATGTCGCACATCGCCGTACATGCGCTTCATGAGTCCATGATTTTCGTGTACGAATCGACGTACTGCATGCCACGGATATGCAGAGCCGGGTAGATGACAGTAGGCTTGCCGCGTTAGGTCGCAAGGTATGGCGGCGAGTATTTGCGCTCGTCCACGACGCGAAAGTTTCGGTGTGTGTATGGTGCATGAATTGGCGGAATCGAAACCGAAACCGTCAATTGGACGAATGATTGTGGTGATGAGTAGCAAAAGGAAGAGGAAATTTATCTGAAAATGAAATGAAATTGTTAATGCTGACAAATACGAGTATATGGCGAAGCATCCTACTGTCAAAGTTCCCACGCTCCAGCTTAAGGAAATTTAAGCATGGCGTTTAAGTTTAGTCAAAGAAATTTGTAAGCAATAAATGAGTTGAGATGGAGGTAGAAATCGATTCACAACATCTAACCTTGCTCTCTGTAGGCCGTACATTCGTAAACCTAAACTAATCTAGCCTAAACTTTCTTCGTTTAGTACCAATACAACCTTGGATTGGGAAATTTATAAAACTGCGCAAGTGATATCTGTACAACCGAGATCTAGAAAGCTAAGAAGTATTCTTAGCAGGTCTTCTGCAAAAGCGTAGAAGTATGTAATGAATACTCCCATAAAGACGCATTCTTGCGGCGATTCCGCTTCTCTTGGAATATTTAAGTACTATGAGCAGCGAGGAATGGGCTTATACTTCCCCTTGATGCCTATTTTCCATGCAACCTAGACTCAGGAGAAGCCTTCGATTTGGGAACGGTGAATTGTATGATTTGATTAAATTCTAAATATTATTTATTCAGCATAAAACTACAGAATTTCGCTACTACTTCGGGTCTTTTGGATTATTGCTCGATTTTCGGCACTTTGGACAATTTCGGGAACAACGGGATGTTCGAGACTACTTTGGAGTTTCCGGGAGTATTTCGGGATTGTCGGAACTACATAGGGATTTTTGAAACTACTGCGGGATTTTAAGAATTTTCGGGATTCGGGATCGGGACAGTCGTGACAGAAAGGGCTGCAGAGAGGCGTCGGGGTACTGTGTGCTGGTCAACTCTGGATTGCGACACTTAAGTATTCGTGCACGCTTCGAGATTATCCTGGATAACGCGGATCACTGCACATAGACTGGAGCCAAACAGCGTTAGGCTGCACCAGACCACAGGGATGTTTTATCCGGAGTCTATTTCGGTGAAAAAGAGAATAGGAATATCTTGGACAACATATGGACTACTCTTGGACAGATGGGCCTCTTGTCAGCTCTGTGGGTGCTCTGTGAAAACCAGTTTATTATCTGCTGCTGCATTATTTCCTGGGAAAAGGTGGTCGCAACTGCAAATTATGCTGGCTGTTTTGACAAGACTTTGCTGATGGAAATGATCGCTGTGAGACTAAATATCAATTCGCAGCTGTTCAGAGTATGATGTGGTGAAATCATCTCAACTTTTACGATTAATCCAATATATCGTATTTTTACGCCGGAACAATGGCGTATCCAGGGGGGATAGGGGATGGTTCCCCGCCCTAGTCAGTGAATTACTATTTTCTTCTACTTTTTATTTAATAACACAGTACCAGGTTGACCGAGCTTTTCCCGGAGTGCATATACATACATTTTTAAAGTTTTCAAGATTTGGATAGCTTTAAAAAAATATTTTGGAAAAAATTGGATTTCGATATCTATTAAGTAAATTTCTTACTCCAAATTTAGGTAGCAACCCTATTCCGAAATACGCTGGAACGAATGGTACATATCTTGAGCGTATATGTACTGTGTATACATAAAAAAATGCTGATTGAAATTAATAAAATAAAAAAAAAATTCAGACCAAGGCTCTCAACAATACCTTTCATTTGATATCCATATTGCGATGTTTTAGATAAATTGTGTAGAATCGAAAATAAGTGGCAACCTTACACTATTATCCTAACAGATACCATTTTGTATATAAGGAAAGCATTGTTTAAGAACCTTCTCTTGGTACCCATGAATAGCAATATTGTACCTCTTTTTCTAAACCAAAAATTAAATAAATATGAATTTCAAAATAGGTGGCAACCCTATCAAAAATATTTTTGAATTAAGGACCTTTAAAGTAGCTGCCATTTGATAAACATATTATGATGTTTTAATTAATTTGTAACTAATTTCGAATAGGTGGCAACCTTATACGAGTCTTCTCGGTGATAGTGCCTATTCAGATAATCTTAAAATCCAAAACACTATCTATGTACAAAATTTAATCAAAATCGTTAGCGTTCTTGTTTGCAAATTTCCGATTTATAAAATTTGGAAACCTATATTTTTCATCACTTTGTTCAGCTTTTCATAGATATATGTACATACATATCTACATATATACGTGATTTTTTTCCGACTCTTTAATTTAAAAATGCAAAAAATATGTGGAAAATCCAGACTTTTTATGACCAGCTATCGATCAAGTGAGCTTATGTGGGTTAACACAAATCAAACTGAAAGTAAACGCGCTACTAGCAGCAGCATACCAGCTAGCGTAAATTTGTGGTTACATACATACATATGTATGTGCATATATACTATGTATGTATATGTATACTTAGATATAATGGCATTGCACTGAAGCTCATGAAAAACGAAATGAACAACAAAAAAAAGAAAAAGATGCCAAATGAAAAGAGAAATGCGTCAATCAACCGAGCAACTAACAACAAACAATACCAACCGATCAAGCATATCCAACCCGCTGCAATCATCATCTTACTATCACCGGCTGCAAGCACCACCAACACCAACTCAGCTATGCTGGGCTGCTGTTTGAGTCGCATGACTGGGTGGGCAGACATTAGCCGACATTATCAGACAGACAGGTACATAGTACAACTCGTACTGCACGTTGTCTCCGCCACCAAGAGCAGGTTGGTTTCACTTGTGGTTAAGTGAAATGTGAAAAAATTGAAGAATGAAAAAAATAAAAATAAAATAAAATCAACAGAATCTTGGGAAAACGGTGTATGCCATTAACATTATTGCTGTTCTTTGCTTCTAGCTTTTACTTTGTCTGCGCCCATATTGCCACTTTTTGTCTTCTATTTATGTACTATGTAAGCGCATACACCGCTTCTTTGGCGGCAAAATGACGGTAAAAGTTGTAATTATGGCTGTATGCGGTGGGCCGTGTATGCTGCAACTGCTGCAATTTACCGATTTTGTAGTAAAAGTTGTGGGAAGGTGATCAAATAGATGCGCATAATGAGAAGATATGTGAAATATCGCTTTGAAGTATGCTCATTATATTCATCCCATTATTCCTATGAAAATAAGTTATTTTCTGGTACATAATTCAAATCTAAACGGGCCTTGAGTTCAGTTACATAAAGTTAGATTTAGTTAGGGTTCACTAATAATCCAAACCATCCTGTTCCCGAATATATAAAAATTTGTTTATACAGAGTCACTCTTGATGTATCGAACGAATAGCTTTGCTTTGGATATGCTCATCACTCACTTATGTTTCCAAAACGCTATTCACATTCCGATGTGGTTACGTTGCCTTTTTAAATCATGAAAATTGTAATTAAGCCTTAACACCGTTTTCATTAGCGTATTTATTACACCAAAAATCCAAAAAATTTAAATTTTGATTTCCAAATAAATTAATCAAAACATTATTTATGGTAAATGGTTATTTATGGTCTCACTTTTCCTTTTCATATCGACACTATTCACAGCTCTCGCCACAATATTTTCAATCGAACATGCATATTTAATGCTTGTAACTTGGCAGATTTACATAAAAAAATATGTTTGGTATTACTGCGCATGCGCTGCATACTTATATGCCATTGCCCTCTAAATGTAGTGAAAGCTTTTCAAAAGTGCAAGGTTGGTAAAGTGACTGATTAAGTGGCGGATTTACGCTTCACCCTCAACAATAGTTCAAACGTGTGCGCAGTGAAAGTGTTGAAATAAAAATTATAGGCTAGGATTCTTTGCTATCCGTTCCACTTCAAGGCCCTTGAGGTAATTGACGATTTGAAAACAGAAGTACTGTGTGTGTATAAGTATGTATTTGCATTTTTAATTTTCATTTGAATAAAGCCGTCATAAATTCCTGAAATTGCACGTTTTATATGGGGTGAAGACAGTATCTCTGGCAGTTAGTCGATGGCTCTAATGAAAAATTCAAAAAAATTAAAAAAAAAAAAAATTCAGTGCGATGTAGAGAAAAGAGAGAAAATTTTTTAGAATTGAAAAACATTAAATTTTTAGGTGCACAAGGACGAATATGTATTGAAAATGTCCTTTTAAAAAAATGTTTATCCTATAGTTTATAAACTAGTAAAGTTAAAAGGACAATTTCCATGCCTTTTCAACCTTTGTACCAAAACATTTAATGTTCTTTAAATTTTGCACATTTTTCTCTTGTATTTGGCATCCATATTTTTAATCTACATTGCACCGAATTTTTTAAATAATTTTTTAATTTATCATATCCTTAAAATTTCAAAATCCTTTAAAAAAAATCCTGACGTCAGAGAGAAAAACTAAAAACGCAGTTTTACTATATTTGGCCGCTAATTTCGTGAGTATGTTGATTTTTGTCTGGCTAAAATTGACTGTCCCACTCCCTTAGATGGTGTCTACATTTGTAGATTACCGGCCAAGAGATAGCCATTTTTGAAAGAAAGGTTTTGAAGGTATTAGAAATAATTTTTTTTGTAGGCTTAATAGCCAAAACTGCTTAGAATTGATTTTCATGAAGCTACTGAAAATCTCGAACACGGTTGTAGTGGAATTATTTTAGTTATTATAAATTTTCAGCGAAAAGCACATGGCAAAATTTTGTTTGGTACCCGTATTGTAATAATGGTAACCTCTGCAAAAAAAAAAAATAAAACTTTATGGCACAACTGCAGGCCAAGCCCTGTAATTTGACACCTCACTTTTGAAACCCTAACATTTAGTAGCATTTAGCATTTAAAAAGTACTTTCTTAGGGCCTTAAATGATTCCATGCAAATTTTCAATTTATTCCCAATAGCACATAATTAATGCTACCTGCATATATGCAGCTCCTAAGCCAACACAAACACTCAATCATCAGCTTAAAAAAGCGCATAATTCGTAACATAACTCTTACGTGCAGGCAATGCATAAGCATATTTAATTTACATACTCGTAAATATGTAAATTAGGGTGGTGGACAAATGGACATGCGGGAAAAAAATGTTTGAAATGTAGAGCATATATGTACC